ACATCAAAGCATGCTAACAAATTAGGTTGAACAATATGAAATCAGATATTTGGTAACTTTTGAGGCACAAAACAAAGCAATTTCAAAATGTTCTACCTAATAACTAAAATTGGTACAGAGAAATAAACAAATGGCTGTTAGGAATGTGGGAATGTTAAAACATTGACATTTCCCACCATCCACAAATCCCTCTCTAAGTGCTAAGAAACAGGGAAGATTCCACAAAGTATATAATACTAATAAAGCTTGGCTCACTCCAGTTCAGTTTACCCAGTTACAGGCATAAAATGGAAGTGGAGGACTGAGGAAGAGAAGAGGCACTGGGGGGAAACGTTTCTTCCAACAATCCTGGAAAAGAAAGTATTTCTAATTTGAAACCTAAAAGCAGAGTAGAAACAAAGAGCCAAGGGAAGAACATCCCAGAAAGAAAGTAAAAAGACCCCAAGTGAGAAAGTCTGCATGTTCTAAGAACAGAAAGGTCAGAAGGTGACTAAAAGATAGCAAATGAACTGAAAAGGATATAAAATGAGCATAGAAGAGTAAGAAGGATCATCCATACAATGTCTTACATACTAAGGACTCTGGGTTTTATTCTAAGAGCAGGAGAAGTCAAATAATGAGTAATATTTCAGAAAGGTTAGCCTAGTTGCTGCATGAAAAATGAAATATGGAGAGAGAGAGAAGAGAGCTAGGGAAAATTAGGAGGCTACTATGATATCCAAGTAAGATAATAGCCTGGACTAGGGCAAGGACAGCCAAGCTGGAGAGAAGTGGGAAGCTTCAAGGTATATTTTGGAGGTCTTATGTCCAATATCCTTTCCCTTCCCACTCCTCCACCTCACATTTTGGTAATAGAAAAATTCTTTCTTTGGGAAACCATCCCATGAGGCCCAGGTGGAAATGACCTCTCCTAGACAGGGTGGGAAGATACGACCTAGACTAAATATGAGATGAGATGGATTGACTTCATAAAATAAGCCACAGGAGTAAGTCTACAAGGAGCTGAGCAGAGCTGCTGAAGACAGGAAACACTGAAGCTATCACTCATTCATTCATAGGACTGCCAGGAGTCAGAGCCAACTTAACAGCATGTAACACATAGCCTTAAGCAAAGCATCTTTTTCCTTAGTGACAGTGGCTGGTTCAGGAATGGACACATGAGCCAAGCCAGGCCAATAAGACTGTTTCATAAATGCAGAGTGATTTTTTTTTTCTTGTATTGTTAGCAAAAACAAAAAACAAAACAAAACAAAAAAACCCACACAATGGAATTACATCAGCTTAAGACATTATCCCTCAATATCCACACTCCCCCTTTTCTTTCATTAAAATACTTCTCAAGCTCTGGCTGGGTATAATGGTCACATAGCAAAACAAAATCTTAGCTATGGACATATAACTAAGTTCTGGCCAGTGTAATATAACAAGAAGTGGTTTTTTCAATTTCTTGGTTAATTCCTTTAAAAGGAAGCTATCTGTGCTCACCTGTTTCTTATTTCACATGGGCTGGGTATTAGTTTGCGAGGACTGCCACACAAAATACCTCAGGATAAGTGGCTTAAACAACAGAAATTTATTCTCATAGTTCTTGAGGTTAGAAGTCCAAGATCACGATGTCACCAGGCTTGGTTTCTTCTGAGGACTCTCCTTTTGGCTTGCAGATTACCTGCCGAGGGACCTGAGGCCGCGCCCCTCGCCCGGCAGGGCTTAACAAGGGCCTCAGGGCATGCCTCATACCCGGCCTGGGTGACCTCAGGCTGCGCCCCCTACCTGGCGTGCACCGAAGGACCTGAGGTTGCGCCCCCCACCCAAAACTGAGCCAGGGGACCTGAGTCTGCACCCCTCGCCCGGCAGTGTTTAACTGGGGCCCTGAGGCTGCGCCCCCCGACCCTGCGGGGCTTGACGGGGGCTCTGAGGCTGCGTCCCCCTATGTCCAAATTTCCTCTTATAAAGACACCTGTCGAATTGGATTAAGGCCCACCCACATCACCTGATTTAACCTTAATTACCTTTCAAACACTCTTATCTCAATATTCAGTCACATTCTGAGATACCAGGGGTTAGGGCTTCAACATGAATTTTGAGGGAAGACAATTTGGCCCATAATAAGCTGAAAAAATAGATGTGATACTGGTGAGCCACATAAGACCTTGTAGATGAAGATAATACCCTGAGGCAGAACTGTCCAAAAAGATTTCTGTGATGACAATATTCTATATCTGCGCTGTCCGATATGGCAATCACTAGCCACATGTGACTATCTCATTAAATAAAATTAAAAATCCAGACCCTCAGTTGTACTAGCCACATTTCAAGAGCTCAATAGCCATATGTGGCTAATGGCTACCACATTGGACAGCACAAGTTAAGGGGTGATGTAACAAAACAGAATCTTAGATCTACATGTGACCTGAGGACTATACCCCAGAGCAGTGGTCGGCAAACTGCAGCTCGTGAGCCACATTATTGATCTAACATACGAGTAATTTGAGTTACGAGCTCCGTCACGGAACGAATTAAACTCGTAAGTCAAGGCCCCACTGTATTAAAATATTTCCTCTAATTAATCCCCTTTTAATATGCACGAATTTCGTACATTGGGCCACTAGTCTTATTATAAACCTCCTTCTTCTTGTTCTACTTCTTTCAATACATCCTAACTGATACAACTATTCAAGCCTATTATTTCAGATACTTTCAAGGTAGGCAGGTAATAGAAAGAGATTGAGAGAGAAACAGGCCTAGCACAGAGACTAGTAAGAGAGAATGAAATTTTCAAAAATTACAACAAAAAGATATTGCTATAGTTATTGTCACATGGTACAGACAATAGAAATCTATGAAGCTTTTGAAATTGTTTACCAACAAACTATATTAGTGGCTATGAAAACCTGTGATTGAACTTTAACCCTGCAGCCCCTAAATCTATACTGAATGGTAGGAAGCTACAAAAGTTGTCCAATTCTTAGGAATGTCGTATTCTTAAATGCCTACTACTTCAGATGTAGTAAAAGGTAACAGCCCTAGCTGGTTTAGCTCAGTGGACAGTGCATCGGCCTGCAGACTGAAGGGTCCCAGGTTCAAGTATCACATAATCTATGTTGCGTGAACCACACGTGTGTTAAAGTTTCTCTGTTCAAACAACCCATCCTATACTTTAACAACAGAACAGAAATGGAGGGCTAGTATAACAAATTCCTAAAAACTCTGATAAGGCTTAGAGGACAGGTAGCAAAGAAACATAACTCAGGCTGGAAAGCTAATAACCTCAGTTATGTAGTAGCAAAACATTAAAACTCTTGCCTAGCCGGCATATCACATGACTAACAAAAATGTACCTCTAAGAAAAGCAGTTAGAAAAACTCAGAATACTGATATGTTCTGGCTATTTAAAGAACAACCAGAAAGATCAATTCAACTAAAAATAAGATGGTTTGTGCTCTGGCCTGTGTGGCTCAGTAGGTGGGGATCATTCCATGTACTGAAAAGTTGTGGGTTTAATTCCTGGTCAAGGCACATGCCCAGGTTGCATCAACGGCACATGCCTGAGTTGTGGGCTCAATCCCCAGTGGGGGGTGTGCAGGAAGCAGCCAATCAATGATTCTTATCATTGATGTTTCTATCTCTCCCTTCCTCTCTGAAATCAATCCACACTAATAAGAGTAATATGCAAATTGGTGTCACTCCACTATGCCCACCAGCCAATCAGGATGAGTATGCAAATTAACCCAACATATGCAGACACAGAGCGAAGACTGAAGGCTCTGCCCGAGCGAAGACTGAAGACGACTGAAGACTAAAGACGACTGAAGACTGAAGAGGCTAACCAAGAAGAAAGGAGAATAGCAGCCATTTTGTAAATACCTTCTCTCAGTTATTCAAATACTAATCTAGGTGCTAGTGTGGGGTTGATTTTGCAGATGTAATTAAAGTCTCTAATCAGTTGACTTTAACCTAGGGCTGTGGTCGGCAAACTGCGGCTCGCGAGCCACATGCGGCTCTTTGGCCCCTTGAGAGTAAAAATATATTTAAAAAAAAAAGGGGGGGGGGGAGAAGATGATAAACAAGGAAGAATCACCTAAGAACAAAGCCAAGGCCACACATAATAATCAAAAGGTCAATCCCCCCCATAAAGCAAAATCAGAGTTTAAACAAGTAACTTACACAGTTGCCACGGCAAAGTATTCTGCCTAGATGGATTTCATTACTAATATGAACCATGACTGCTGTCTACTTTCTATTCTTCCCTTCTCCAAAGAAGCTTTTATTAACATTATCTTATTCCTATTCACCACTCTACAATGGATTGGGCAAAAGAGAGAGATACGTTGTTTATTATTATACAAAAACATTTTTCTACATCACGAAAATACTGAAAACAGACAGAGAATATATGTAACAAATAGAACTGTGAAGAATATCCATAAATATAAATAACACCAACAAATCACTAAAAAAAGTCATCCTTAGTGAGCTTGACCTAGTCCAACTCTTAAAGAGAATGGGTTATTCCTAGCAAATCAGACCCCAAATAGCGGCTGAGTCTACAACTGCTCTCACTTCCTGGATCTTCCTTTCCTGACTGCCTATGGAGAACAGCATGTGACCATCAGTTCCAACCTGAGATCTTCCCTTCCTGCTTTACAAATTTTGGACTTGTTTAGTCAGTCCTAAGAACCGTGTAAGCCAATTCCTTGTAATAAATCTCTTAATACATATCTATCTAACTCTATCTTACCTAATAAAGAGAGAATATGCAAATTGACCATCACGCCATACCGGTCAAGATGGCTGCGCCCACAGCGGAGGCCGAGTTCCCATAATGAGCCTTAAAGCAGGGACCTGAGGCTGCATGGCGCTGGGCCGGGGCAGGATTTTCAAAAGAAAGCAAAATGAAAAAAAAACACATGAAAATTTACTCAATGTCAATAGTAATCAGAAAATTGAAAACCAAAACAAAACACTATCTTTAAAAGATTTAAAAAACTAAGATGACTGACCATTTCCAACAGCATTCTTATACACTTTTGATGAAAGTAAAACTTGGGAGTATTCCTCAAATTTAACATGTGCATAACTCTGGTCCAGCAATTCCATTTCCAGGAATCCATCCCAAAGAAATGTTTTTATACTAAAAAATAATGTAAAAGGATGTTCAAAATTCAGCCTACATGTGCAAAACAATGTACTGAAAAAAACAACACATAAATGTCTATCAACATAAAAGATCAAGCCCTAGCCAGCACTGCTCATTGTTAAGAGTGTCCGCCCTAAGGGTGGAGGGTTTGATTCCAGGTCAAGGGCACGTACTTGGGTTGAAGGTCTGATTCCCCCATTCTAGTTGGGGTGGTAGCCAGAGGCAACCAATCAATATACAATGTGTCTTTCTCACATTGATGTCTCTCTCCCTCCCTCTTTCCCTCCCTCCCACTCTCTCTAAAAACCAATGGAAAAAATATCCGTGGGTAGAATTAACCCCCCCCCCCAAAAAAAGTCAAGTATATTATGCACATTCATACTACAGAACATTCATAATAAGTGAGAATGAGGCAAATCCTTATGCACTCTCTTACACACACACACTCTTCCACCAAGAAAGCAGAACATTTGATATACACCTACCTGTTAGTAGCATTTACCCTGAGAGTGGGATAAAATCTTTATGTATTAGAAGACTGTTTTTTAGAAGTTAAAAGCATTCATTAGTTTTTATAGTTAAATAAATATATAATAATTACCTAAAGGTTCATCTCTTCAACTGACATATTTTGGGAATGCTCATCAATGAAATTGTTAGCAGACAAAATTTCTTTGTTAATCCTCACCCAAGGATATTTTTTCCACTGATTTTTAGAGAGAGAGAAACATCAATGTGAGACACATTGATTGGTTGCCTCCCACACACACCTGACTGGAGCCAGGGATCAAGCCTACAACTGAGGTACCTGCCCTTGACCAGAATCAAACCCGGGACCCTTCAGTCTAAGGGCCAACATTCTAATCACGAGGCAAACTGGCTAAGGCAGCAGACAAAATTTCTAAGTGACAGTTCTGCTCTGTGTGATAATTTGATTAATACACCACCAAGAAAAAAGAAAGAAAAGACAATTTCAAACAATGATTAATTCTGGAGAATAGGATTATAAGGTGATTTTTGTATTCTTTAGATCATTTTTATCTTGTCAAATTTCCATAAATATGTATGTATAGTTTCTACAAATATGTATAATGTTTAATTAATATTTGATTAATATTTAATAGGAACACTGTATATAGAAATCTCATTTAAAACCTATTTAACATTGTACCCTACCACTGTCCTTTAACTCAATTTCTCACATTTTAACACATCTCTACCTGCAGCAACCATAAGTATACTAATATAGCTACCTCTTTTCTTACTACAAAATCTTCAGGTAAAAATTAGAATAGATAATTCTTTGGTGTAATTTAGTTGTCAAGAACACTCGAATATATCACATACAGACCTCATCTTTAAAAAAATACCAAAAATTATTGAGCATTCTAAAAGATATTCATAAAAGATATAAAGTGTACCCTACCAGTATTCTAAAACAGAAACAAAACAATCCCTATGAGACCAATTCTAAAAACAAAGTTGCACTGAAAACTAACAGACTCCTAAGTAATTATACAGGTTTAATATCATCTTCATAGTTTTAAATTATTATCGTGTTATCTCAACAAGACTTAAATTTTATAAAGCTAGGAATACTGTCCCATTTTCCTCAAATCCCTCATAATCTAAAGTGATTTTTCTGGGTCTGAATAATGCTTCTTTAAAAAATTTACTTAGAAAAGTATACTAATAGTGGCACTTATCTTCTAAAAATCATAAAAAAACAGAATTCCATCACTGTCCTAAATTTTTATGTATATAAGTTTAAAAGTTTTACTAACTGCAGTATATATAAAATCATTTAACTCAATACATACAGCTATTTTAAATATAGCTACCTTTTTCAAATTCACTGACAGGGAAATGACCGAGATTATGAACAGCCACACATAAGAAATAATCAATATTTATATTTGCCAAATAAAAGAATTAACTCCTATATTGCATCTCGCACTAGTAAAAGCTATATAATCTGAGACTTTGCAACAGGACTATTTTGTTATTAAGTTGGAATAACAAATAAGAGGGAAACATCGCCTAGAGAAGGAAGGAGATAATAATGGGGTCAATGACTGAACTGGAAATAGACCTGATGTAACACCAACAAGACAACTTCCTTTTCTTCTCAGTTTTCATATTTAGGGTGATAGGAAAGAAGAAAAGGAAAATAGTACACCCTGTTATTTACTCCAAATTCAAAACTGATTAAACCAATTTTTCCAAAGATCTGAACATTTTTAATCTAAGGTTCTTTAGTTAAAAGACAACCCATGCCCTGGCCGGTATGGCTAAGCAGTTAAAGGGCATCAGTTGGGCGCACCATATACCTGAGTTGCAGGTTTGATTCCTTATGCAGGAGGCAACCATTTGATGTGTCTCTCTCACATCAATGCTCTCTCTCTTCCCCTCCCTCCCTTCCACTCTCTCTGAAAATACATACATACATACATATATACATACATACATACATAAATAATAAATAAATGGGAAAAAATATCCTCAGGAGAATATTAACAACAACAAAAAAAGAATATATGAGGAAAAACCCAGACCAAGAATTAATTTTAGAAGTTTTTATTTTTTAATTATTATTTTTTTAATTTATCTTTCCTTTCTGTTCTTTCTTTTTATTTTGGAGGGGGCGAGAGGATAAAAAAAAAGAATTAGATAGAATTAGATTAGACCCAATGACAGCCTAGAAAGGGGATATGCCCTGGTAGAGATGCATAGCTATAGACAAGTTTCATAAAGTGTAAAGTCTAGTCTCAAAAAATGAGAAATGAGGAGTTCACTTAATTTCAAAACTGAAATATTCACTATCTAATACACCTCATATTTTTCTCCATGTTATATGGTTCAGTTTGAGTAACTGGTTAATTTGAACATTAATTACCCAGCAATCTATATATATAAATGCCTAAGCGACCGGAACGACCAGTCACTATGACACACACTGACCACCAGGGGGCAGACACTCGATGCAGGAGCTGCCCCCTGGTGGTCAGTGCACTCCCACAGCCAACCTCCCCCAGCTGGCCAACCTCCCGTGGTCCCTCCCCCCAGCCCCCGGGCTGGGGGGGGGCAGGGAACTGTGCGGTGGCGGGGCACTGATGATGGCGGAGTCGGCATCCAGCGTCTGTTCCTTCCGCACCTGGCCCGGGACCGTCGCCTCCTCTCTGACCCGGCCCTGATTGGCCTGGCCCCTGATCGGTCCTGATCACCAGCCAGGCCTAGGGACCCCACCCATGCACAAATTTCATGCACCGGACCTCTAATAAGAACATAATTAAGTATAACCTGTATTCCTCCTTGTTCATGTTTTCCATCCCTAAACCTACAATCATCTGTAAACTACCTCTCTAGAAGTTCCCTAGTTTTAGTGATCATTTTCATGGTACAACAGGCAGAAATATATATATATATACACACATATACATATATAATGTTTTATATAGCTGTATCACCACATTATTTAAATAAAGATTATGATTTATATTATCTCCAATATCTTACATAATCTTATTCAATATTATGCTTAACTTTTCCTGAAAAAGCATGCTTTGTTCCAGACCATTTATCCAAAAAGGAATATTTTTTTTACCCAGGACTCAAAAAACCTATTTAACATTTTCAATTTATTCCCAACCATCTTGTTATTCCCATAACCACAATTCAGTATGATCTATCTGCGCAATTAGAGAGAGATTGCATCATATATCAAACTTGTTTTATAAAGAAACTAAATAATACTGGCTCCAAAAAATATTCCGTAAGTATTGTGATCATCCCATTTTTCTCTACCTGACCCTCTTTTATTTATAGTTTCATCCAGAAATTTAAAATAACTCTCTAACAGACCAGGTAATGTTTATGAATTCTGTAAGATGACAGAAAGCAACCTCAGTTTTGCTTTCAATAATTATTCCTGTATTAATTTCGAATTTTATAGCATTCTTGGTGAAAATAAAATCCAAAATGTTGCTTTCAATAATTAAAATCCCAAATTATAAATCAGGATAAATGATAATTATACTGGTCCACAATTCCACTTCCCCTCATGACTGTATAAGAAGAGTTAATAAAAAACAACCCAAAAGTTAAGAAAGTTAACACCATAAGTCAGGAAGGGTATTTTATTTCTGGTGACAAGTGGATAAATGTATAACTCTACCATATAGGAAAGGTTCCAGGGAATAGAAGGGTATTCATATATACCCATCACCTTCAATTCCCTAATGACCTGTTTTTTCCAAAAGGTGAAAGTTGAAAGTTGTTGTTAGTCAGCCTAGGCATAGTTTACCAAGGATGATGGTGCCCTCTATTGGTCCTAACAAAACCATAAGTGGTACCAGCAGGTACTACTTCATATACCATTATGAAGTAAAATTCTTTTTCATCTACAGTCAAGTTAAAAAATTATAAGGAAGTTCACTACATCCACATTCTCTAACACACTAAGTTATTTTAGAAAAACGCAGAATACTGTTATAAGTGCAAATACATTGCCTCAAGTACCTTAAAAAAAATCAATCTCCTAGTCAACTGGATGGCAGTAGAAGCAGTCTAATGAATAATCTAGTGAATTTCTGAGAGCCACATTATGCTGATTTGATGATTATTCAACAATGAAAATTTTTACAATACTCCAATGAGGTTGGTGAGGTGTAACGATGACTAGAGTAAACTGAGTAGAGTCCAATTAAAACATCTGACAGAAGTTCACCATAAATAGCTGCAACCAAGTTTGGATACCTTAAGACTTGAGGTCCTACCACGGGTGGGCAAACTTTTTGACTCGAGGGCCACAATGGGTTCTTAAACTGGACCGGAGGGCCGGAACAAAAGCATGGATAGAGTGTTTGTGTGAACTAATATAAATTCAAAGTAAACATCATTACATAAAAGGGTACAGTCTTTTTTTTTTTTTTTTTAGTTTTATTCATTTCAAACGGGCCGGATCCGGCCCCGCGGGCCATAGTTTGCCCACGGCTGTCCTAGCCTAACCAGTTTGGCTCAGTG